TTTTTTCTTCTTCCATCTGTTCGCTGGAGATCTCAACCTGCTCATGGCTCTATTTAAAAAGTGCCAGGCTTGTGGCTCAAAGATGGCTACAACAGATGATCATCTGAAATGCCTCCTGTGCCTGGGAGAGGGCCACAACACGTCCTCCTGCGAGATCTGTGGTACGTTAACCCCGAGAACCAAGCAAGAGCGGGCATTAAAACTAAAAGCAGCTCTTTGGGAGCAAGCCTTGTCTGGGGGCACTAGTACTCCCTCACCGTCGAATATCTCTACCGACGTCGTCAAGCCCCCCCCTAAATCCCAAAAGCCGAAAGAGGTCTCGGCAGGGAAGAGCCGGAAAAGATCCGTGTCTGCCCAACCGCCTCAAAAAAAGGCGAAAAAGGGCAAATCTAAGTCCTCTACTGTGTCCCCGATGGGAACTGAGGCAAACTTATCGGCTTCGCCGTCTCGCTCGACGTCGGAACCTTCTGCAAGCGTTCCTTCGACGTCGAAGAAGCCTGTTTCCTCGACGTCAGCTCCGTCGACGTCGAGACGCTCCCGGTCAACTCGACGTTGTAGTCCAACTTCACGTCGTCCTTCCTCGACGTCGAGCTCTGACGTCGAGCATCGACGTCGACGGCAATCTCCGGAAGTACACGATGCTGACGTCATCAGTCTTCATTCGTCAAGAAAATCATCCAGAGGCCTTTAGAGGAGGATCCAGTGTTGGGGATTTTATATGCCTCTGATGTGGGTCCAGTGGCTATTACTTTGGTGAAAGGGATAAGAGAAATCACCTGCAATAACTGGACTCCTCCAGCTTCGGTTGCAGGGTCTGCTTGAAAGATAGAGAACCTCTATAAAATAACAGAGGAGGAAGGTTTCTTCCTATATCACCACCCCCAACCGAATTCGATGGTGACGGAGGTAATTCCCTCTAAACAGACCGGAGGACCGAGGTCTTCTCCTTTAGATAAAGAGGGCAGAAAATTAGATGTTTTAGGGAGAAAGCTCTATTCTTCTGGAGCTCTGTCACTAAGAATAGCTAACTTTAAGGCTATTATGGCCAGGTACCAAGTTACGTTATGGGAACAGTTATCCCCATTATTGGCCGAACTGCCTGACGACAAGAAGGAGCAGGCCAAGTTAATTCATACAGAGGGAGCTCGCCTAGCCAGGCATGAGCTCAATGCTTCCAGACATGCAGCTGACGCTGCGAGCAAGGTTATAGCATCAGCAGTGGTCCTGCGTAGGCACTCCTGGTTGCGCTCTTCCGCCCTTCCCCCTGATACAAGGGCACGAATTGAAGATTTGCCTTTTGAGGGTAAACTCCTCTTTAGCGAGCAGACTGATGAGTTTTTGGAGAAGGTCTGGAAGACTAAACTGACAGCTAGGTCGTTAGGTCTGGCTACTCAACAGCAGTCTCAACCTACAAAAACTAGATACTTCCCTAGACATTTTCAGTACCCGGCCGCAGGCAGAGGGTATCGCTTCCACTCGCCTGCCTCCCGACCGTTTAGGGGGTCTGTCCAGCAACCCTTCCCCCCAAAACGTCATCAACCCGTGCAAAGGGGTAGACAGCCTCATTCCCCTAGGGGGTCATTCTCCAGGGGCAGGAACTCGCAATGAGGTGTTCCCCCTCTCTTCAGGGCCCGTTTGGCACGTTTTTTCAGTCAATGGTCTACGGTTTGTTCAGATACGTGGGTGTTAAGCATAATAAAGTTTGGTTACTTGCTGGAATTTAGAGATACCCCGCCTGTATCCTTCGAGGTTCCTACCTCGCATAGGCAAGACGAGACCTTGGCTTTAGAGATCGACTCACTGGTGTCTAAGGGTGCTCTAGAGGTCGTCCCTGGGGATGAGGGGAACTATGGTTTTTATTCCAACTACTTCCTCATAAAAAAGAAAGGAGGTGGACTCAGACCCATCTTGGATCTGTGAGATTTGAACAGGTATTTACAGGTGCGTAGATTCCGCATGCTTTCCCTAGAAGAGGTTTACCATTCTATCTCTCCGAGGTCCTGGTTCGTCGTCATCGACCTCCAGGACGCTTACTTCCACATTACGATACATGTCGACTGTAGGAAGTACCTTTGTTTTAAGTTCAAAGGTACTAGTTACCAGTACTGCGTGCTGCCGTTCGGATTGGCGACGGCACCCAGGGTCTTCACGAAATGTTTTTCTGCGGTGGTGGCTCATCTCAGACTCCACGGATGTGCAGTCTATGCATATTTAGATGATTGGTTGCTAGTAGCTGATTCCAGTGAGCGGTTGCTAGCCCAAGTTCGTTTCACCGTTAATACTCTCCAGTCATTGGGAGTAGTGGTCAATTTTAAAAAGTCTAAACTTACTCCCATTCAATCTATCCTGTTTATAGGGGCTAGGTTAGACTCAATAACTCATAGAGCATTTCTACCTGAAGACAGGGTCAGGGCTATACAATCCCTGGTTCACTCTTT